TCTGTGAAAACTACATGTAACAATAGAGGCACAATTAAAGGAAACTCAAGAACAATAAAAGATTAATATAAAAGCCTATTATAAGAAATAACCACAATTTAACATGGATGACAAGGTATGGCTACTTTGTCACAATATCAAAACTATTCAATTTTGTGAGAAGTTGGACTATCATAGGCTTAAAATTTTTCTATTAATAAATAAGTTAATCATATTGCTATCAATTAAATCTACCAAAGTCTATGAAGATGCATCCTATATTTCATGTGTCTCTACTTGAGCCATATAAGAGAATGAATATCTCAAGAAGAAGACAAACACCACCTCTTCCCATAAAAGTGGATAATAATAAAAAATTTGATGTGAAAAAAGTCTTAGATTCAAGGTCGTGTTGAAATAGATTAAAATATCTTGTTCATTGGTACAGATATGATATTAATGACTGTATATGGGAGCCAACAAAGAATCTTATAAACATAACAAAGAAGGTTGAGGTTTTTTTATCAATGATATCCATTAAAATCAAGATGAAAAATAGCAAAATTTTGCTATAAAAGAAACAAGATTTATGAAAGTTAACATTCTATCTTCTACTCTTGTTTGGTACTTTTTTGCATTTATGATGCTAAAGAGATGGAGAATCAACAACTAGTAGATTCAATTCAAGAATTATCAAGTGATAACTTATCAAATAAAACATTGTGATTGTTACAACCTTCAATATAACATAATTAAGATGAAGATCTTTAAGAATGACATGTCCTTCTTCAAATATATAGCAAGATATAATGTATTTGGTATCACAATCTTAGAAGAAACTTCTAATGTTTGGTGATTTTATTAGGAATTGAAAAAATTCCTAATAATATTCTAAATATTTTTTTGAAGGAAGTTATAAAGGCATCAACAATGATTAAATAATAAAGTGGTCTTTTTGCCTTGATATGAGATACTATTAATGGCTAATAAGCCCGATCAAAAATCTTTAAAGAATACAAAGATAAAAATATGTGAAAAATATAATTTCCCGCATCTTAGATTTTTTCAACATATGATCACCACTCTTCATGAAAGTCATCTCTAAAAAAGAAGATTATATCATGGACATACATATTTATTATAATATTTATCTAAATAATTAAATAGAAATAGGTAAAAGTAAATTTATTTCATAATATTTTTTAGATAAGCTTTTTAGAAGCTTTGTAGAAGTTGTTTTACTTTACATGTATTTGTAGTTGATTGATAGGTTAGAAATTTGGTCAGCACATTAATTATGAGTTGATAACTTGTAGAACAAGCTAATTATGTGGAGCACATATAAAAAAAAACTTGCCTTACAAGTTAAGACATGTATCTTGCAAAGTCAACATATTTGGAGGTCGTATAAGATACCACCATGTAGCTTCTAATTAAGAGTATATATGAAGGCAAGAATGAAATATTCTTCATCCTTGACAATGCATTTCTTGTCCTTAGTCTTGTCTCAAGACTTTTTAGTCTTCTTGTCTTTGGCTATAGCTATTTTAGTTTAATACTATACCATCTTTAAATGACTTTCTAGTTCTTTTCAGTAATATAATAGTATAATGAGGATTTCTTTCTTTGAGCTTCATGTCCTTGACAACAAATTAATTTAGTTATTTATTGATTATATTCATCCAAGTCTATGAAGATCCATCCCATATATATATATATAAAGCCATATAAAATAGTGGAAATATCAACAAGAAGATAAATGCTACTTTCTCTTATAGAAGTAGAGAATAATCAAGGATTTGAGGTGAATGAACTCTCAGATTCAAGAAGATGCCAAAATAAGTTGAAATATTTTGTATATTAGAATAGATATAATGTTAATAAAAATATATGTGAGCCAACAAAGAATCTTGTAATTGTAACAAAGAATGTTGATGCTTTTCATCAACGACATCTATCTAAATCATGATGAAAGGTTAAGCATTTTTTAGTTATAAAATATATTTTTTTTTAGAAAAATTTATATTATATCATCTATCATTGTTTATGATTTTTATATATTTATAATACTAAAGAGATAGAAAATTACCAATCAATAGATTTAATTTAAAAAATATCATTTTTAAAATTACAAGATAAGATATTGAGATTGTCTTAAACTTTAAGACAACGTAATAGAAATGAAGATCCTTAAAAATAACATATTCTTCTTTGAATAGATGGTGAGATAAAATATTTTTGGTATTACAATCTTGAAAGATATTTCTAATTTTTAGTAATATTATTGGAGGTAAAAACCACCTTTCATGGTTTTTTAAATATTTAATGAATAAGATTACAAAGGCCTCAATAATGATCAAATATTAAGATGAACTTTCTATTGTAATATAAGACATTATCAATGGCAAAGAAGACCTATCAATTATCTTCAAAAGGGAATAGAGATCAAAGTATGTGGCAATTACAACTTATTGTATCTTAATATTCATTACCATGTAATTATTTTTTAGTGTAGAACTTGTGCCTAAAAGAAGAGATAATTTTTTATATATATATATATATATATATATATATATATATATATATATATACACTTAGATTAAAAGAAATTAAATAGAATTGTAAGTAAATAGATTCAATAATATCTTTTAAAAAAACTTCAAAGTTTTATAGACACAAATTCAACTTTATGTTTCTAAGTGATTAATATGTTAAAAACTTAACCAACAAGTTAGTCATGTGTTGTATATGTTTGTGATTTGTGGTATAAGTTAGGTATGTGGCATACATACATGAAACTTGTCTTCCAAATTAAATATATATCTTGCAAGTTGGACATGAATTTTAGGTCTTATAGTACATTTTCAAATAGCTCTTGCTTAGATAATACATATAGAAGCAATAGCAATGTCTTGTTCATTCTTATCAATGTCTTTTTGTCATTAAAAATAGCAATTATAATCTTATTTTTATACCATCTTTGAGTGCTTATCTTTTTTTTTTTTTTTTTTTTTTTTTTTTTTTTTCACACAAGAGTGTATAAACCATTTGATTCTTTGTAATTGATGTCCTAGATAATAGCTATTTATTAAATTTTATTTATTAAATTTTATTTAATAATAATAATAATCTTTATAATTGATATATATATAATATAATTATAATATATATACTATATTTTATTATTATTATTATTATTATTTGATATTTAAAATATATTCAATAAAACTTATTTATATTTTAATATTTTATTATATAAAAAATAATAACAATAAGATTAAAATAAATCTATTTAGAATAAGAATTGTTAATGAATAAAGAAAATACATATATATATATATATATATATATATAATATGTAAAGTCAAAGGAATAAAACATTAATTTCATGCATACTAACTTAAATAATTTATATAAAATAAACTTCTTAGAATATTATATAATTATTATCTATTATATAAGTCATCTTGGATATAATACAAAAAAATGGAGAAGTTTTATGATTGATCATTAAGAAGGAAATGTAAGAAATGAAAATAATATAGTAACTAAGGATGGCAATTAGGTAGCAAGTGAACATGTGAACAAGGTAATAATTAAATAGTAATTCAACAATGTTTAGAATTTTCAATCTGGTTCTCAAATTAGTTTCACAATATTATTCCCCTCTTCTAGAATGCTTTATCTTCATAACTTTGTGTTAGTTAATACTTTACTGTTAGTGGATTTAGATGGTTATAATGTTTAGTCTTATTTTCAAAATTTTCCTGCTATAACAAAAAAAAAAATGCACTGTTAAAGGTGAGCTCAGGTTGAATCTATAAAACTTGTTTAACATTTGAGCGTCTTTTGAAATAAATATCTTACTTGTGAATAGTATATGATGATCATAAATATCAACCACCATGTTATAATTTTACATTGAAGAAATTGTTGTAATAGTAAATTATGATATGATATAAAGACTGCAATCTACACAAATACAGCAGTCATATTTTACATATGAAAGAAGCATTTCTTTGATTTGATTTGATATATATTTTTTTTCTTTAATTTTATAGATAGCAATGCTGAGAGGTTGACATGTCAGCAAATTATTAATGAATATGCTTAATCAAAACTCTGTTATAATAAATCGTTCAATCAGAATGCAATATTCTAATGAACCACGTGCTAAGTGTCATATAGAGACATATATACCTCCGTTTACACATCCTCAATGACCTCGATTAGTAAAAAAGCAAAAATAAATAAATAAATCTGGTTTTCAAAAAAGTTAATTACACATACACTAACCGTATCCATGGCTCATACTTAAGTTTCAAAGAAGTAAATAACATACAAACGAGAAGAACAATTCCTACACACATGTATATATATATTTTTTCCTTAAAAAATCGAAGTGGACAATACAAACTTTACTTTAAGTCATACCAAAGCTGTAAAAGGAACATGGGACCACGAAAAGGGTTTCAAAATCAACATCGGCTACCAAAACCCTAAAACGCACCCTGAAACCCAGTAGAAAGCACGAAGAGGAAGCAGAAAGCATCTCATCCATCCAAGGGGGTCCAAGGAATTGGGATGAGATCCATCCGAAGGGGAGCACGCAATGATCAATCCATCCATCCCCATCCATCCATCGATACATGGATGGTGATGATGCTGATGATACTGAGGATGGGGCGGAGCCAGGAGGACGAGTCGGTCCCCGGGGGGCCACCGCACCGGCATGGGTTAGGTGCCGGGGGGGTGGGACCTCAGCCCAGCCCAGCCCAGCCCAGCCTAGCCCCCATGCACAGCGCTGGAGGGGGCACGGGACAGGACGGGACGGGACTTGCGAACACAAGTGGGAACCCCAGGCGTGGACACGTCGACTCACCTATTCCCGCTCGGTCATAGCGCTAGGGCCAATCCCCATTCTGTCCCTCCCCCCCTTATACCCGTGGTAGGGTCGCACCATTTTCTTGCCTACGATTCAATCTCACATCATCGCATTCAGGATTCCTAGTGTTGCTGTGCTGGACATGGGATTGTGTTGCGCTCGTATCTGGCTAGTAGTTGAAATGTCGAGGCGGCGAAGACATTAGCAGGTCAGGAATTGAATTCGTGGCTCGGAGCCGTCTTAATTTGCAGTGGTTTGATAGAGAAACCGCTCTAAGTAAGAATACGAAGGTAATAATAAGCGTGATTGTGAAACTGGAGGCTGAAATTGGACCGTAACGACAACAGATATATATATATATATATATACTTTTTTTTTAATGTTTTATCGTGTTGTGTTGACATCTTTTTGGTTATCAGGGACTAGGTTATCGACGTCTGTGGAAAGTGTAGGAATCCAAATCACCGAGCATGATGAGAAGGTGAAGACTCGGCTTCAGATGAGAAGCAAACGGTGGATCTAAGTGTGCAAAGTAAGTATGCCTATGACCCCGATGCTGTAACTCCACAATCCGTTTGGCGTGAGTTGTAAACTGAGCGCTTGGGGTGGATCAAAGGTGACGTAGCGGGGCCCGGCGTTGAGGTGAAAGACTCGTCCAATAAGGGTGACGATGCAAGACTCATCTGGTGCGGGGAGGAGATTACCGGAACAGAACAGCTTTCCTGGTCGCGGCACTACCGGAAACTCTTGCTTTCTTTACCTTCCATCTGGTTGCGAGGAGGACACTGGTAATGACAGGTAGAATTCCTTGTGTTGGCTTGGAGGAATGTGTTGCTGTGATTGAAGAAGCTCGGCGCTAGGAGGCTTAACCGCAAAAGCAATACGATACGACGAGCATTATTAGGGTTAGAAGCGATGATGCGCTTCAAGTGAAAGTGGTTTCCGACTTCATCGCCGTTTTATGGTTGTGCAGGTCAGTGCAGTGACTGCGACGAAGGAAGATGCGTAGATGTGAAGATCTCAGGCGGTGGTGATTTAAAATTTCTAATGGAATTTAGAAAGTTGGTGTTGTTTTTGATTTCTGGTTGCGGTCGAGCGGCCGAGGTTGTGCCAGTTGTTAGAGCTAAGAATACGGAATTTATGAAGTTCAATCGGAGAAGCGATGTTGTGCTGTGCAGATGATTTCAATGATGTGGATTTGGTGTGGTGATGGTTACAGGCGGGGGGTGAGGTAAGACGGAACAAAGATGGAGGGGATCGGAGACGGGACATTAGAAGGACGAGGCGACTTGATGAGGAAGTTGAACGATGATACGGTTATTCACGTGCTCCACTATTTGGACACGATGCAGGACATCGCCAACGCCACTGGTGTCTGCCGCTCTTGGCGTCGTTTTGGTCCGTTGCATTAATCCCTTTTGGTCTTTGTTTGTGTTTTGTTTTTGTGTGTGTGTGCCTCCCTCTCTATCTCTACAGCTCTACCTCTCTTTCTCTCTCTCTCACACACACACAAACACACAGACACCATGCTGTACCTGATAAGATCCATTACTTGCTCAATTTCGGGATTGGCGTGGTGCATGAGTTTAGAAGGAACCTTCGTCGTCCTGATTACTATTTGCCAAGTTTTCTCCACTGTTCGAATCTGGAATCCGTAGTCTTTCATAAGACTGCGGAGCTACACTTTTGATTGCACATCTTGTTGGATCCTTTCCTTTAAGCTAATGGATCAAGTGTAGATGGCGTTACTCACCAATTGTAATACTTTCGATAGGTGAATTTATCGCAGGTACTTCTTAAGGGCATGGTTGAGGTTCGTATCTGCGTCAGGTTTAGGGCAATTGGGCTCTTAATGGCGTTCTTGTAGATTTTTAGAAGCTAAAGTTCGATTCCGAAGGTTATAGGTGCAGTGGATGTCAGGGAGCTATCTTCTTTAAGTGGTCGCCATCATGATTTCTTCATTGCAAATAGCTAGCTTCTCAAGTCGTCCTCTGTTGCACTGGTTGTGTAAGCAAGCGTTGCATACGTCACTGTAGTTGCTTTATCCCCGTGGGTTCTTATTCTCCTGCAGTATTCTTTTTGTGGACACTAATGGGCACACAATCATGTGAATCTCAATTAAGGTGAGATGATAGCGGCCAATCAGGCCCTTGCATTGTTGTGAATCTTTGCTGTGGAAGATGACGAGTCAAACTATAGAGAGAAACTGCCCCATAAATGCCAATTATTCATTCGAGTATCCCGTGGGGCAAATCAGTTAAATCGCTGTTCGTAATGGGGAGCATTTTGCGGAACCATGTATATATTTAGACGATGATTTCCTTGTTAATTTACTTCTTGGACTCTACGTTGGGGAGCAAGGAAAAGCTGGGTCAATATTCAATATTATCCAATGTTGAAATATTTAATTTAGGCAAGATATGTGTTCTTTGCACACTAAATTCTTATGAACCTAATGGTGTTTCAACATACAGTTCTGGAAGGTCGGTTGTGGAAAGGACTCTGTTTGAAAGAGTTTCCTGAGGTGAAGTTATTCGAGGAGGTCGCCGAGTTCGTTGAGCTAGACCAACCGAGGGATTTATATGGAGCTGGCTCTAGTGGCTCATCTTTCAATGCTAATCTGGAGAGGGATGAGCGTATATATCGATATCTATTTCGAGAACTCAGAAATGAGCCCATGTCTGATAAAACTTGCATTCGTGAGGCGGTTAGTGCTTCAAGTACAGACAACAATCCTGAGGAGAGTATAGTTCAGACTTTATATCCTAGACCCCGCTACTCTGATGAGCAAACACCATCCTATTGGTCGAGTACCGGTCAGCGAGATGTTAATTGTCCAGAAACTCTTACCTACAATCTACTGTCGCAGCTATGTGTGGTTCATGAAGTCCGCATTCGGCCCTTTCAAGGTACTGTGAAATTTGCCTGTCTGTTTCTTGCTACTTAGTATAGCGATTTACATGCGGTTCATTTTGTTGGTTTTTAGTCTCAAATCTTTTGATGTTTAAGTTGTTAGGAATTCACTCACACATCACGTCTATATTCTACTGAAAGCATGTGTTATTGTCATCTTTGTTAAAGCTTTTTTCCAAATCGGGCAGCCCATATATTCCGCTATGAATGTGCGGATCCGTCTTGGCTACGAAAGCATGTCAAAGACTGACTGCCATTCTGGAAATTCGAAGGATTATGTGTGGACGTATGAATCACCTAAGTTCAACATGGAACAGGTTTTTACCCTCACACCCGGTTGGAGATTTGATGACGTAGGGACTATTTAGATCTTAAAAACATGTTTTCAGAATAATGTGATTATAAGTGGTATAGTATGTTTTTCATCTTGTTTTATGTGAAAAGATGCTTTCGAGCTCAGAATGGTTATTTTGGTCGTGGGGTGAAGGTGGACTCAATGCAAGTATTTAAGTTGCCACGACCTGTCGTATGCATTGGAGGCGTTCTTCAAGTGGAACTTCTGGGTCGTGTTCAGACCCAGCAAATGGATCAACTTTACTACATTTGGTATGTGTGCATCTCGTTTATCAGTGTCCACCGCTCAGTAGTTTGCCTGGTGTCTTCTAAGCCTCCTTTCTGTGTTGATACGCACGTATTTCCTCTAAAATAATCTTTGTACTGACCTGCTGATTAACTCGACGCTGCCTACAGCATATGTCATGTGAGCGTGGTGGGATGGCCACTTGCTGCTTTCAGTATTTCTCGTACTGGGGAGCCTCCCAAATTTTGTTTAGAGTATAGAGGAAGATACAAGGAGAGCGATGCTGGCAGTGATGTAGCCAATAAAAGTTTGGTGTCTGAAGGAGAGACAGCCTCAGGGACTTGGATGACTTTTGCGGAACGTATTAGGCAGTTAAGAGCTAGCCGAGTACTACGTCGAAACCGGATACTGAATACATTCTTGGGAAACATAACTGTGGCTAGCTTACTCCTGGCTCAGGAGGATCCTGAGGACTCGTCGAGCGATGAAGAGGTTGACATGGAAGATGCAGAAGCGGATCGCGATGAGGAAGACGACTCGGTTCCTTTGTAGTGTAAAATTGGTTTGTGCAGCTGTATTACGAGGCTATATGACTGTAGTTTGACGTGACCATCTCACCATGCTCGTGTTAGCATGTTGGGGTGTCGCCAGGTTATCCTTTTCTTCAGATTTGTTTAGGTCTAGTATGAGTGCCAACTTCCTTGGTGTTCGTCAACTTTCCTTAAAAACCTTTTTCTACTTTTTTTTAGCGCAGTATGACGTAATAGCTACATGAGAACTTTTATACTGTGTCTGTTGCTTTTTGAGCTTCAAACGCTAGGAAAGAAGTGTAAAAATCTGCAGGTCTGTTGACAGGGAAGGTCGTAGGTCTGATATTTACCTTAGGTTTCTCTAGACTGATTGTATGCATAGTCCAGTGACTTTGATTACTCTGTGTTTTAGTAGGCTTAAAAGATAGCGTGGAACTCTGCATGCATGTCCTGTGAGTAGCCAGGGAGTTGTTATGTATGACACTGAAAGTGAACTACTCTCCATCATAGGACAGAACCCTACTCACTATCATTGATGCTTTGTAATTGTTCTAAAACTTTGGAAACTTTTTAATCAACTTTCATTTCTAAATTCGCCATTTATGTTTTGAAGGTTGTATTTTGAACTTTCCACTAAATTCTAGAACCTTTTATGGTTGATTAGTAATTTTGAAAAACTTTTCATAATCTTCCACAAGCGTCTGGAAGATATTTTCGAAGCTCCTAGAAGATTATGAATATAATTTAAGACAGTACTATTTACAAACTTTCTAGAACCACCTAATTTTCCTTATAGGCTTGCTGAACTTTCTCAATTTTTTTCTTTTAGATTGTTTACGTATTTCAGACCTCTTAAATCATTACCAAGAGCTTTTGTAAGATGTAGTGGTCAAAACACAAACATATATTGCTAACAAAAATTAGGGAGCACTCTAAATGTTGTTTTGTTTTATTTAAAATCTAGTGCCTTTATTTTTGATCATTTGATTTATGTTTTTGATATTGCTTAACCTAGGGGTTCTTGTGACAAATCCTCAACATTTTTGTTAAAAATTTAAACAATTGGAACTTTGCATTTTGACTTAAATTGTATAATATATATATATATATATATATATATATATTTCTTCTTACAAAAGTTAATGTTGCATCTTCTAGGCTATAGGTTGTAGATTATTCTCCATCAAGTTGATATCTTGTATTACAGTGATATTTATTTTTTATTTTTTATGAAATTGGATAATTTATTTTTTGAAAAATACATGGTCTTTTTCAATCTATATACTTTATCAATTGTAGTAGAGTCTTGAAATCCATCCATCAATTCTATGATAAATAAGTTGCTAATTATTGCTAGCAAAAAGTAATACTATTAATTTCATAGTTTTTTACTTGGCTACAAGTACAAAGACTTTATCAAAGTCTATCTCTTATGTTGGCTAGAAGTGTTGAGCAACTAATCTTGTTTTTAATTTTGATGGGTTTCCATAAAGTCTTATTTTTTTCTTATAGATCCATCAAGCTATTACTAGAGAGATTCCTTGGAATTGATTATATAATTTTCATGTGTCATTTTTGAATAAAGAGTTTTTTTTCAAATTACATGGCGGTTCTACAACTTACAATCAAGTTTTCTTTTTAAAAACTAATCAAGTTAGCTTGTTCTTTAATAATTCTATAGAAACAATTGAATTCTATTGGTTTGTAGAATTCTACCATATCTACTGGGGTTGAAGGCACTTTAATTCTATTGCACCGTCTAGATTGTCACACAAGTATATTATACTATCTTTCAAATGGACAAAATAGTGTTTGTTGCAAGCTAGCAAAATTTTAATTGCAAGTATTGTTGATCCAAGATTGGATTGAGATAAATTAAAATTTGCTAATTTAAACAAAGATAGTAATTCAAGTGACAAAAAACTAAGAGGATTTTTGAGTCAAGGAAACCATTTTGAGATGGTGTGATATCAATTCTTCACATCCGGACATGACAAATTGTAAACCAAGGTCAAAATCAGATCTAGAAGCACAAAACCATGCAAATATCGTGACTATAAGGTTCTTTGATTGATTAGAGAGTAGAATTTGGAAGAAGATTTGTAAAAAGATTTTAAAAAGTTGATTTCATGTGATTTGGAGGTGTATTGGGGTTTTGAGAGATTTCCAAAGTAAAAGTTGTACTAAATGGATTTAGATTTTGAAAAATAAAAATAAGTTTACAAATTTGATGTTTTTGTGAATGTTGTATCATATTTATAGGTAAAAATTTGTCAACTTGTCATTGTACTTGTTTCAAATGTATATAAAATATTTAATAATAATCAAGTGGTTAGATTGAAGGTTATAAATTTTTTTGTGGATTATGGTCTCAAATAATTGAAACCTAAGGTTAGTAAGGAATTTCATGATCTTGCAACATTTGCTTATTTGATTGAAGCAAAAATTGATAAGAGCTATTTAGAGTTAGCAATCTACACATTAGTCAAACTTTGAAGTAATTGAATGATTGAGTAAAAAGAAATCATCATTGAAAGATCAACATTCAAGTTGGAGAAGGATGGCAACCATCATCCAAGAGGTTTTAGAAGCTTTTCTTTCAATGAGTGAGTTTGATTCTTCTTAAACTTTGCATGCTTGTTAATTGTAAGTGGATTGAAATTTGAGTGAAATTTGAGTCAAGATCAAAAATTTAATTAATATTTTTTGAAATTTTAAAATAGCTATAATAATTGATTAATATTTAATTAGGATTTTCTTAAATTTTTTAAAGATTTGATTAATATTTAATTATGATTTAATTAGTATTTAAGATTTATTTAAGATCTAATTAAATTTTGGTCTAAGATTTGATTAAGATTTGATTATGATTTGATTAAGATTTCGTCTACAATTTAGAATTTGATTAAGATTTTGTTTAAGTTTTATTTATGATCTTATTAAGATTTTTTAGGATTCTTAGAGTTTCATTAGGATTTGTTTAGAACTATATGAAGATTTTATTGAAATTTACCTAAGATTTATTTAGGATTTATTTAAAAAATTTATTTTTAATATTTTTAAAAGATTATTTTTATTTCTGTAAAGTTTTTATTTTTTTATGTCTTTAGGATTTTTTTATTATTTTTCTTTGAAGTTAATTTATGACTTCTTTATATTTCTTTTGAAATTTTTTTTAATTTTTTTTGAATTGATTAAAGTTTGATTAAGATTATTAAAGATTACTTAGAATTTATTTAGGATTCTATCAAACTTGATAGGATCTTATTGTTGCATTTTTTATTTACCTTCTACAATTAAGAGCTTGATGCATTTTCAAGTAAGATTTCATGTTATATTATAATGCAAGTGTGTGAGTCCTATTAATATATCTCAATTGATAGAATTATTAAAAATATAGGTTTTAATTATTTAATTACAAAATATTTCTACATTAGCTTTCTACCTATGTATATTACTAAAAACTATAAATATTAGTTAATAATTAAAAGAAGCATGAGAAAGAATTGCGTATTTTTTTAATTATTTATTTTAGAAATAGGATTTTTAATTGATTTTAATTTATTTTATTATTATAAAAAATAAAAAAATCGGAATGTATGGATTTAATTTTATATTATTATAAAAATATCATAATTTTTTTCAGAATGTTTTTAGAATTTTTAAGGAATTTTTAGATTTTTTTTCAAAACTTTGATAAAATTAAGTTTTTACAACCTTTGGAGCCATTATGAAGAAATAGAGCAATATTTGAAGGCCATATAAGTTAATAAAATTAATTAGATATTTTTTAATACCATGGTAGACTCAAAAATGCAAAAATATTAATTTTACTATCACAAAATAGGAGGACCAGTAATTAATTTAGTCCTTGTAGGAAGAGAGATGCACAAGTTTCATATGAAGTATAGAACATTGAATGTAATTAGTAGGATAAGGCTAAGACCTCGTGGCCTCTCTTAGCAACCAAAAATACACTATACATGAGCTTTGGTGAGGCTCAAATCCTTCATCTATAATCAAGTTATTTTTGAAATAAAATAACTTTATTTAATTAATTATTTATTTACTTGATATATTTAAGTTTTTATAAATTATTCATAATAATTAAAATTTATATATTTCTTATACCATTAAAAAGATAAAAAAATATCTTTTTAAAAATTTATTTTTTATTTTTTATTTTTATTTTTTATATTCATGAAAACTTAGTAAACAGATGTCTTAAACATATATTTAGTGTAATTCTTATTTAGGTAATATAAATAGGTAGAAGTAGATAAAAATAAATTAATTTCACAATACTTTTTAAGAAAGTTTGCAAGAAGTTTTATAGACATTGTTTTGATTTTATGTGTGTTTGTAGTTAATTGATAGGTTAGAAATTTAATCAACAAGTTAATCACATGCTACACATGTTGGTGCTTGCAGAACAAGCTAATTATGTGGCATATATATAGAAAACTTATATTGCAAGTTAAGATACATATTGCGCAAAGTCAACATCTTTTGGATGTTCTATAGAATGTCGCTACATTGCTCTTAGGTAGATAGTATATATAGAAGCAAGAATAAGGCTTTTTTCACTCTTCTTAATTATTTTTTTTACTTCTAAACTAGTTTGAAGAAATTCCTAATTTTCTTATCTTTTGGCAATAGCCATTCTATTTTTTTTTAATATATATACTTCTTTATTTCTATTTTTTCATATTGCTTTGAAAAAGTCTTACTTGCTTATTTACTTTCATTGAGTTCTTGTCCTCAATAGATTGATAAAAGTGCACTTATAGTATCAAAGCTTTGTCTTTTCTTAATTAAAAGTAAATTATTATCTTTTTTTTAATAAAATATAAGCATATTAGAAATTGTGGATTATCTTCTTTCAAATTGATATTATTTTTAGTATTTTCTTTATTTTCAAGTTTTTTTTTTTTTTATTCATCTTGAGTAATATTAGACATGTCTTTTTTTTCTAAGTGTGCAAAGCTTATTGAAATAAAAAATGAAATGAAATAAATACAAGAACAATTGAGAGAAATAATCCTTGCAATGTATTAATTCAATTTATGACTACAAGAAAAAATAAGAATGATAGAAAGTAGAGATATAGAAATGATTGAAGCTACTTCAATATTTTCACCAAATTATATTCATTTTTTTTTATAGAAGAACACCATTCAAACACTAGAGAATCAAAAATTATCTTACTTGAGAAGTTTAATGGTACAAGATCAAAGTTTCAAAGATTCATCAATCAAGTACAATTAATAATTGAACTTCAATTCCAAAGCTATCCAACTCTAAGATTACAAGTCAAGTTTATTATAACTCTATTTTTTGATTCTACATTATCATAGTTTTTATCTTTTTTTAAATAACATGATCCAATATTGGACAATTTAAAAGCTTTTTTGGTAGAATTTTGATTTATATATAAAAAAAAATCATATAATTTGTATTTCAACAAATAAGATCTATATTTTATAATAAAAAATCAATTTATAAAATTATATATTTTATAATTTAAAAAACTTGTGATTAATATCAAGTGCAATGATGCTATACTCATTAACTAATTTTTTTTTATGGATTATAATAT